GGCGGGGCCAGGCCTTGGCCCACGGTTCCCGCGTGCCGACAGAAGCTGGTCTGGGGCAGCGGCAGGGAAAGGAAGTGCTCTGAGACCTGCTTGCAACCCCGTCCTGCTGCCCCCGCCAGGTTGATGATCAGGGTCCCAGAAAACCCAGCAGCACCCTTGCCGTCTGCTAGGCAAGGGCAATGCTCTGTACGTCCCCGAAGCATGACGAGCCGACCTATGTTTTATTTACAAAGCTTTCTTGCATTACGTTACACTGTGGGAATGGCACTGCACAGCGGGAAGTGGAGCTGGAACACTTTATACACCTAATGGCCTATTTGGCTTTCTTCACAATAGGTTATCAATAATGTTTTTAAATTTTCCTTTGTTCTGCCAGAAGGTCTTTAAAGACTTGCACACACACACACGCACAGCACACACAAAGAAGAGCGACTTAACTGGAATAAGTCATTGTCTGTTTTTCTCTTTTAAATGTACATGCCTCATGTAAAATTTCTGGCACAAGTGTCAGCTACTTCCTAATCAAACTGGTATGTGGCAAATGTGAAGCGTTCTGGCTGCTTCCTCAACCAGCACTGCACCTCTCTCCTACATAAGAGGCAGGTTAAAATCAGGAGCTCTTCCTTCCCAGAAGGTTGTTGTTCTCCTTCCATGGAACCAATAAAATAAAATAAAATAAAATAAAATAAAATAAAATAAAATAAAATAAAATAAAATAAAATAAAATAAAAAACACTCAGATAAGGCTCCTCATCCTTCCCGTACTTGCTCATTAGGTTTCAATGCTGGACGCTCAGCCTTAGGTCTCTGGCTGGTATCTGTTGCCAGGGTGATACCTTAGGACAGGGCAACTGCTGAGTACCCAAAGGGCTTGGGGTATAAATTCTAGAGATTCATAAATCCTAAATAAGCTCAGGCAATCTGCGGAGAATTGGCTTAATAAGCTCAGTGCGGTTTGCATTGTAAGGCAAGCAAACAGCTCCAATCTGCTCTGACTAAATCTTTGGAGGAATATTTGACAAAAGCTCTTAGTAAAGTGTATTTTGGTAATTCAATTTGCAGGAAAAAAAAAATGAAGGAGATGCTCACATACTGTAGCAATGGGATAAGTGAGGTAAAAAGGAAGCTGGTTGTATATACATAGACTGTAGATCTGCTTGGAAATTCAAACCCTCATGGTTAAATGCAGGGGATGAAGAGTTTTTGGGGATCCCTTGCGCAGGTGAGGGCTGCTCAGTGAGGGCCCTGGCTGACAACAGCTCAGAAAGAAGAAGAATCACTGCAAAAACGATGGAGACACCATAGCGCTAGAGAACTGAGAAACTCAGTATCTAAGCCTTATGTTACTAAAACAAACAAAAACACATGCACAAAAACTTTCTCCTAACCTAGAACTAAGACAGGGTTATAAGTAATTTTTCTACTATTTCTTCATTTTGTGCTATTTCTTCATTCTCTACTATTTTCCTCAGGGGCAGCAACAGACGCAGAAAGGTCTCTACCCAGCCTAACAGCAAGCAGGAGAAGGAGAGCTCAGTGGGTCACTTCTGACGGTCACTGAAGTAAATGCTTAGAAAGAGGAAAATGAGAGCAGAACACTCAAAAACACATAGGAGTGTGGCTGCGTGCATACCTGGACACCCCTACACAGCCAATCCCCCTCCAGGAACCCGCACTCTTTGCTGCAGACACGAAGACTTGAGGCTATAGATATATAAATACATGTATACAGCAACGCAAAAGGTCATGAGTGGTCTAAATCGCTTGCTGCTTGTGCTTTCTGTGGGCTCCCAGTGACAGTGCAGGCGCAGCAGGCTGAGACATGGGGGCTCCTGCAGCTCCTGCTGTGCAGCCAAGGGCTGCGGCGCTCTCCGCTCCTGCATGAGCCGCAGCGCCACGAGCCGCAGCGCCAGCTCCTCGCAGGCCTTGCCTAGCACTCACTGCTCCTGCTTGCTGCTGCTTACGGGAGAGGGGCATCTCTCTGCTTCCTCCCGCCTCCCTGCTCCTGTGGGCATCTGTTGGCAGAGAAGTGGCTCCATCACCTAGACATTTGCTTCCTGACGCTCCATTGCAGCCTCCCAAGCTTTGCGAGAGTTGGGAGTGCTCCCTGAGCGAGCAGCGCTGTAACCTCACAGAGGCTGGGAGCAAATCCTAGGAGATAGACACATGTTTTCCCAAGTATCATAACTATCCTAGCAGGTTGTGTTGTAGGTGAAATGTCTCCTGTATATTTAGAAAGCAGAGGATGTTATGTATTTTTTATTCCACCCGCTACAGAAATCTTGCGTATTTAATGCCTGGGAGTTGATAGATTTTTATCAGTGTTGTCAGGCCTGTCCTTTCCTTGGCCTGGGAGCAAAAGAAGAGAGCAGGAGACAAGGGGAATAAACAAGGGGAAATTGAAGAAGCATGTGTGACTGCAGGACGGTGATCCCACTGCAATTACTGAGACATGGTGGGACAGCTCTCATGACTGGAACATGGTCATGGGTGGCTTTAGGCTTTTCAGGAAGGACAGGCCAGGAAGGCAAGGTGGCAGAGTTACTCTTCTCGTGAGTGAGCAACTGGAATGTTTGTGTCTCTGTCTGGGGATGAAGTGCGAGTCCAGAGCCTGTGGGTGAGGATTAGAGGGCAGGCCCACAAGAGTGACACTGGTAGGTGTTTACTACAGGCCTCCTGACTAGGGAGAGGAGGTGGATGAGGCCTTCTACAGGCAGCTGCAAGAAGACTTGCGATCCCAGGCCCTGGCCCTTAGGGGGTAC